TCTGTCTCTCTGTCCGTCCCTCCCTCCCTCCCTCCCTCCCTCCCTCCCTCCCTCCCTCCCTGCTGGTAGAAGTCCAGCCCTATCTATTCTCTATTGGTTGATCAGCTTTTATTGACAAGTCAGAGAATAAATGGGAATCAATGTTTACACAAACTTGAAACAGGAGATTCTTAGAATAAGTATTACAATGCCATGTCCTGATTACAATAAGATATGTGGGCAGAGAAAGCAGCATTTGAATAATGCAAGGATAAATTTTAACACAGTGTACAAAAACCCATTATGCCTGCATGAAAATAACTCCAGCTATTGAACATTTTCAGTTAAGACTCTGTAGTGGTAACACATGCCTTTAATCCAAGCCCTGGGAGGCCAAGGCAGGAGAATCCCTATGTTTGAGGACAGCCTGGTCTACAAAGTGAGTAGTAAGACAGGCCAATCTATGCAGAGAAACTCTGTCTGAAACACCATGAAAGAAAAAGAAACAGAATTGATAGATGGTGTACATATTGGGAGTGGGAGAGGTGGCATTGTAGTGACTTACAGCTGTGATGAGGGTAGTCCAACAATGACTGCCTCTTGATGGAAAGGTCAAGAATCCAGTACTTGTTTAAGTCACTGGATGTCTCAGCAGTCTGGATCTAGATCGGCACTGTAGTCCCAGAGGATTCCTAGAGGGCTGCTGTTTTTCAGTCTATGTTGGAATCCCAAAGAAGTACACCCCAATGCCAGTGAAGAAATGCTCAACGGCAGAGCAGATGAACTTGTCAGTGAGAATGAAAATAAACAAGCAAAAAGCAAAAGCCTCCTTCTTCCATATGTCTTTGTTGTTGTTGTTGTTTGTTTGTTTTTTGTTGTTTTTTTTTTTTTTTGAGACAGGGTTTCTCTGTGTAGCCCTGGCTGTCCTGGAACTCACTCTGTAGACCAGGCTGGCCTCGAACTCAGAAATCTGCCTGCCTCTGCCTCCCAAGTGCTGGGATTAAAGGCGTGCGCCACCACCGCCCAGGCATATGTTTTTGTTATTGTTGTTGTTTGCTTGTTTGTTTTGCCTTATGATATGGGGCCTCATTGTGTAGCTCAGAATGTTCTGGAACTTACTATGTAGACCAGACTGGCCTCAAAGTCATAGACATTCACCTGCCTTTGCCTCTCAAATCCTGAGATTAAACACATGTGCCACCACACTCTATTCTTTTACCACCAGAAGATGTGGCCCAGATTTAGAGTGAGTCTCCCCACTCGATCAAATTATCAACTCAAGAAAAATTCCTCATAGCTATGTTTAGTTGCTCGAGTTTTAGCTGATTCCAGATGTAGTCAAGTTGACAACTAAGATTAGCCATCACAATGACCAGTCATTACTAGGTCTTGATAACAGTCTGTGTTTGTTTTCACACAGATTTGAGGAATCATTCAGTGGCCTTCATACACAATGTCCTATGGAACTAAGTGAATCCTCTCCATTGATAGCAATATCAAGAACATCGAAGATGTTCCTTGCTAACTGGAATGTCCACATGGTTTCTGTTTTCTTTACAATAATCTGTAAATCATTCTCAAATACAAAACAACAGTGTCTGGTTCTAAGTACAGAGATTAAGTACAGAGATTTTAGGTTTCTTTAAACATAAAAGAAAACAAAAACAAACTACCATTTCTTCTGCTTGAGCAACCCCTGCCCATTGTATGTGGCAATATAATCACCAATACTTAACAAACGCCTAGTATCTTTGATCCGTGAATATGCTCTCTAAGATCACAAAACATGTCAGCAATGCCAGTACTTTGAAGAGGAGTGTTAGAGACATGAAGACACTCTGCAGCATTGAAGGAAGACCCCAATATAGTTTTTGAAACACCCTAGGCTAACAGGAAGCAGTTGCCATGGAAATGGTACAGACAACATCTTACAGTTGCTTCATGTTTGGCCATCTGAGCTGTAGTCTCTGGGTTCTCTATTTCTTTTAAAATATGTGAATACCTCTGCATGATTATTTTACCATCTTTTACAATTATTTTATAATATTTTATAATTATATTAATATAATTATAATATAAATATATATTTATATAAGTATAAATAATTATAAAATTTAAAAATCATCTTATAGAAAATTTAAATGTAACTGTTATTACATAAAATATATAGTCACTTAAATAGAGATTACATGGTAGATTAATTCTGAGAAAATTGATAACCTACATAATATTGGATATTCATATACAGTTGTCTTTTTTAACCTAGGTAACAATACCTTTCTTGATATAGGTGTAATACTTTAACATTTTGCTTATGTAAAGTAAAATTACTATTGCTTGCAAATGTCACTGTTAGAATACCCTAGAGCCTCCATCAAAAAAACTGTTTGAACCAAGTAACAAATTTTCAGTAAATCTTCAAAATATAAAGTTAACATACAATCGAAAAACCAAAAAAAAAGTTAACATACAAAAACTAGTTGTATTGATATACACTAATAACAGCTACCAGAAAAGGAAATTAATAAAACAATCCTACTTGCAATAGCATTAAAAACAAAAGCAGGGTGGAGTCCGTGGGTACAGGCTCCTGCTGCCAAGCCTAAAACTTGAGTTCAAGTCTTGGAACTCACACAGTGAAAGGAAAGAATCAATCTCACGAGTTGTCTTTTGATATCTGCATTTGTGCCATGGCACAAGCATGTACACATACAATAAATAAATGTCAAACAAATGTAAAAATAAAATACAAGTCAATAGCCCAAGATTAAATTCTATATACTGATAACACTAATAAAAGCAGACAGGAATGCATAAGTGGAAAGATATACTATTTTTATGGATTGAAAAATTAATATTAAAGTGCTTATATTACCTGAAAAGATGGATCAAGATACTCAGTATCAAAATTATAAAGGTTTTTTTTTTTATAGAAAGGAAAAAACAAAACAAAACACTAGACCAAAAATAAAGCAGGGCATGTGAAGTCAACAATTTGACAAGAGCACTAAGATACTTAAATTACTAGGAAGGTAAGTTTTATATAGTATTCTATGTAAAATAAAAGCAAAGCCCACAGTAATAATGGAAAGGGTGGGAGGAAACTTGAGAGGTGAGGATGGTGTTTATGACCTTGATTATTATGGTTTCACAGATGTATATACTTGGCTGCAACCTGCACAACATTTTGTCAGTCATATTAAATAGTGTTTTTAAAACCTTACAGTTTTTAAATCTCTATTGTGATGTTTGTATTGTTACACAATTAACCAGTTATTGCTTATATCTAGAAATAGTTTTTGTTGAGGCCTACCCCTCCCGCAGCATAGATGTAGCCATGCCTGCCAGCTATTTCATATTGTTGCTATAATATACCTTGCCAGTCATTGACACAGAAAAACAACTGGACTCAGAACAAGGTCATGCTCATCACATATCCTCTTAGGTTCTGTATGAGGTTTGTTAATCTTAAGAAATTCCACAAAACTTTACGAAGGACCCATCACATCAAAGGCCAATATGAACTGTTACGTCTAAAATGGCTTCAGTCAGGCCAACCAACAGGCAGCACTTCCTGCACCCGAGTATGAACTCATTACGGTTTTTGTGGTTTTCTTCTTTTATAAGCTGATAGAGAAAGATGTTAGTAATCACAGCTTCAGCCTCTAAAATCTGAGGTACAGCCCTGATCAGTCTTAGGGTATACGCTCAATACTGACCTAGTATGGGCTATATTGCTGAATTTTCTTGTTGGTGACTTTATTTTTTTCTTTTGTACAATCACATCATCTGAATAATTATTTTCCTCTTCTAAATTTTATATTTACTTCATTCCCTTACCTGGTGAAGAAAGAAACCATTCAGAACAGAAGAAACAAGATGTAAAACTCCAGAAAAAAAACGCAGAAACTGGAAACTTTGAGATAGGAAAAGACACCCCAACTTGATGTATCCTTGTCCTCGCTAGTGGGATAATGGTAGTGCCTGGAATTCTACATATTTCGTTACAGAGAAAATTACCTAACAGTGATTTGGATCATTTTATGTTCATAATGAGAGCTAAATTTTCTTTTAGAGTCACAAAGAAAAGACCTAACAGTTTGACTTAAATATATAGTGGCATTGCTGGGTGTGGTGGCAAACACACTCAGGAAGTAGAGGCAGGCAGATTTACCTGAGTTCGAGGCCTGTCTGGTCTGCAAGGCAAGTTCCAGGACAGCCAAGGCTACATACACAGAGAAACCTTGTCTCTAAAAAACAAAAGTATATAGTGGCATAAGTCTTGTGAGTTCCATTACTATCGTTTTTTGGTAAATTATCAATTTAACATTTTTGAGAATGTACAAACTTCTTACTATTCAAGGGCAAGACTTAAAACCATTTTGAGTAAGACTCTAAAATCTCTCAGGACCGAGATTGTCCTGTGCAATTTAATTAAGTCTTTGGTTCACCAACTCCTTTCTAGTCTTAAAGACTGTTCTCTAAAAACTTATATTTGGTTTCCTCACTGAATTGTAGACTTCTGAAGGTCATGGCATTTTGGCCTTAGAATTTTGCCATTAACCAGTCCCTAGTTATACACACTATTTACGCAATAAATTCAGCGCTGTGCAGAAGGGTGGCCTTTAGCCTCGTGTTCAAAATGGCTATATCTCAATTAGTACTGCCCTTTAGTTAATAACGCTGACCTGCCTGGGGAAGTGGATTTGGGAGGCAAGCGCGCAGAGGACCACAGCAAGAGCTCGCCCCGCTTAACTGCGGTCCCAGCTACCCGCCGCTGGTCTAGGCCCTGCGCGCGTGGAAGGACGGCGAGAGGTCAGCAGTCACAGCACTATGCTCCGATTCCGAGCGGGAAGGCTCATTGTGACGCGCACGCGCGGCCGAGTCTAGGCGCGAGCTCGGGGCCGAGTGCGCGGAACGGGGCAGGGCGGCGCGGGGGCGCGCACGCCCCTGAGCGCGCGCCCGGAGGGGCGGGCAGGGACTCTCGGCTCACACGCCCTTCGGCTGCCGGGAGCCCGAGCTCCCTTCCGCTTCCGACGCGCTGTCCGCCAGCCGGTGCATGTGCGGCAACAACATGTCCGCCCCGATGCCCGCCGTTGTGCCTGCCGCCCGGAAGGCCACCGCCGCGGTGAGTGGCGGCGGCCGGGCCTGGGGCCCCAGCGAGACCCAGGCCCCCGCGCGTGGATGCGTCCGCGTCGCCCCTCGGGCTCCTCCGGGGTCGGGGCGGGGAATCGGAGCTGGCGGGGCGCCGCCTGCCAGCCTAGCACTCTTCACCCCTACCCCTGTTGCGACGTCCGAGGTCCAGTGCTGAAATAGCCGACCTGCGGCGCGAGTGTCTGTGCTGCAGAGCTCAGGTTAACTTTTGCTTCGGGAAACTTTTGTGATGGAAAAATTCGACTGTGTGTGTGAGGCTTTCGTGACTTGACTTTAGAGAGACAGCTCTCTTTATCCGACTGTGTGAGACCTCTGAGTGCTAAAACGGCACGTTAGCCTAGAGATTAAAAGGAAGGGTTATAGAAATTAATTAGCTTGTGGAATAGTGTTCTGTTGTAAGTTTTTAGGACCTTCATTCGCTTTTGTAACTTAACAAAAGATGGAACAGTCCAGTGTGAGCTTATTTTCTCTTCTTCTCTTTTAGGTTATTTTCCTTCACGGATTGGGAGATACTGGGTAGGTACCATTGTTGGTAACTCTAAGGAGATAGGGTCATGCAGCTACTTACTGGTTGGTCAAAAGGTTGTATGCAGAAGAAAGCAAAATTGTAAGAACAAGTATTTTTCTCAAGCAACTTTTCTGCTTTCAAACGCTCACAGTTCCCCCTTATCTTGAGTTTCTCATCTTTAAGATTGTCTCTGGAACATGTTAAAATTGTTCACTGCTCCTTGGATGTGCATTGGATACCAGAGGAGTGGAATGTTTGCAGAGGCAGTGTGCAATTTCAGGGCAGGTTGAGAAGGACCAGTTGATTTTGTTGTGAGAAATAGCAAGAATATGAAGCATGAGTCGAAGATCAGAGTGCAGATGATCCCTTAAAAGAGAAAAATCAAAGAAGGTGGAAGGCACAACGCAAAAGTTAATTTGGAGGCTTATCAAACAGATTTTGCTTTTGTGGTTCTGGAGGACACACCCAGGGCCTTGTGTGTGCTGTGGGGACACTTCACCAGTCCCTTATCAGACTACACTGCACTAACATTAGCATATGATTTTGTTATTAATTCTTGGGTCTTCTTGTGTTTAATTCAGTGATTATCTGATTGAAACTTGGGTTACATAGGACTATCAAAATTTTAAATTGAAACTGGGGAGATGGGTTAATGGTTAAATGCACAGGCTGCTCTTCCAAAGGACCTGGGTTCAATTCTGAGCACCCACATAGTGGCTTTCCAGCTATCTGTAACTTCAGTCCCAACAGATCCGACCCCTCTTCTGGACTCCACAGGAGCTGCACATATGTGGTACACAGGCATGCAGGGAAACACATGCAGGCAAAACATCTGTATACATAAAATAAATATAAAGATTTAATTTTTAGAAATCTATTTTAAAAAGGTAAATTTTTATAAAGTAGCCAAGACATTAAGTATTTTTTTCAACCACAGCCAAAACAAAACAAAAAACCATGACAGAAATCTCCAGAGATCCATCTGTCCCCGAATACTAAACCTATACTTTAATGATGATATACTCTGAACTCCTGAACTCAGAAAAAGAAGTGCCCTTCCTGAATTGGATCTTCCCTTCCCTTCCCTTCCCTTCCCTTCCCTTCCCTTCCCTTCCCTTCCCTTCCCTTCCCTTTCCTTTTCTTTTCTTATTTTAAAAAATACTTTTATTGCTGGGCGGTGGTGGCACACGCCTGTAATCCCAGCACTTGGGAGGCAGAGTCAGGCGGATTTCTGAGTTTGAGGCCAGCCTGGTCTACAGAGTGAATTCCAGGACAGCCTGGGCTATAAAAAGAAACCCTGTCTCGAAAAACCAAAAAAAAAGAAAAAGAAAAAGAAAAAACCAAAAACTTTTATTTTAAACTTTTTTTTTATTGGATATTTTATTTATTTACGTTTCGTGTGTCATCCCCTTTTCCCATTTCCTCTCCTTAGAAACCTCCTATCCCGTCTTCCCTCCTCCTTTTTGCTTAAAACTGAAGTTCTACGACCTTGAGTTCAATCTCGTGGCCATTATCACTGCTGACTCAGAGAACACAAGCTTGTTGGTGTAATCTTTGAGCATCCTGACCAACAGTAGTCTCCAGAGGTACTTCAGTACACTGGTAGGGAGGTCATTGGCTAGGATGAAGAGAAGGCAGAGAAGTACAGCTCTAGTCCAGGGTGCTGACACACTTCCCCCATGATGGTATCAGGCTTGTGGCAATGCATTCTGGGTTAATTTTTGCAGAATCCAGAAACTTCACAAGGAATTATGGAAATATATTATGTTTAGATTTAACTGATTTGCCATTGGCCTCTTCAAGATGGAAGAGAATATTTTTCAAGGGGGAAAGTAAAAATTCAGAAGAAAATAAGTTGGGAGTATATCTCCTATACAGAACCTCACTGTCAAGAGCCTAAGACTCTCACAGATACCCATTCTATCCCTATCTTCCCACTCTGTATGCCTGCTGCACTCATCTCAGTAAATGCACTTGGTTACTGAGGTGAGGATAGCGGAGATTCCTACACCACTATGCCTCTGTATCCATCGGTGGTATTCCACTGAGTCTGCCCCTCTTCACCCATTTTCTGCTTTCCATCTTATCCATCCTTATTGACGTAACATGGCTTTAAAAACAAAAATAATAAAACAAAACCCGTGGGTCACTGCTGTGTTCCTTTTAAATTGGCTTCCCTTTCACTGCTTTTGTTTTCTTCAATAATTCTTATGGTCATCTGGCATAAAGATGTTCCAAAAATACAGATGTGCTTGCATGGCTGTCCTCTTCATATACTCTTTCAGCGACCCCTCATGGGTTTAAGAATAATGCTAGCAATTTATATACAAGGTACAAACTATTATTAATGTTTAAACAATTTAAAATCCTAAAATTTCCCTTTAATCACTCATGGGATTCCAGCCTCCTACTGCTACCATTTTGATGTGTAACACCATATATGTTTTCATTAGATGTGTTATTCTACATTTGTATATGTGTGTTCATATATTCACAAGAAAAGTCTGGGAATTGAAAAGCAATATAGACTGATATGGATATAGACATATTTTTAAAAGTATATAGATGGCCTTAAATTTGGTGTTCATATTTACACTTGATCACATGCTTTGGACAATCTTTGCTCCATTAATCTTCTTTGGATTTCATTATAGTCACCAGTACTAAGATACATGATAGTCAGTAATTTATTTAATAAACTCCTTTTTGGTGAGGATTTATACTTTTAAAAAGTGTACTTCTAGGATAGTTATGTAAATACAGAGGTTATTTTTTTTTTCTTTTTTTTTAAAGATAGGATATCCTTGCAGGTGTAGAATTCCCTATTTCAGAGATTCTCAACCTGTGGGTCACGGCTCCCTTGGCAAACCTCTATCTCCAAAACATTTTTTCTATCTATCTATCTATCTATCTATCTGAATATATTTTTTTTTTTTTTGGTTTTTTCGAGACAGGGTTTCTCTGTGGAGCTCTGGCTGTCCTGGAACTCACTCTGTAGAGTGAGAAATTTCTGAGTTCGAGGCTAGCCTGGTCTACAGAGTGAGTTCCAGGACAGCCAGGACTACACAGAGAAACCCTATCTCGAAAAACCAAAAAAAAAAAAAAAAAGAAAAGAAAAGAAAAAAAAACAGTAGCAAAGTTACAGTTCTGAAGTAGCAGCAAAAATAATTTTATGGTCTGGAGGGGGTTGTATGTATGCCTTTAAAAATAAATGAATGTTTAAAATGAATGTCTCTAAATTCTCTGCCAGAAATCTGCTTTAGTCTATAATTTTAACAGTAGTGAATTGCAAGTATGTTCCATTTCCAATGTAATCTCTGACTCTGGTAGTAATGGTAATCTAAATTTTGCTAAAACAATATTCTGGGTGTATTTGAGCTACTCTATTTGTGTGGCTGTGACTGTGCTCTGTGCTAACCTGTTTCATTGCTGGGCTTTTCTAATTAATATTAAATCAACTAAAATTGTTTTTTTAAAAAGAAAGAAAGTAAGTGCTTTAACTCACTGAGCCATTTTACCACCCCAGTTATTATTTTATTTTATTATTGTTATTATTTTATTGATATATCCAAGGGTGGCCCAGAATTAACAACTATCTTCCAGCTTCCACCTCTGATAAACCTTGAAATTAACCTTCTAGATCTCACCTGCTCTTTAACTGTTTTCCTTTTAATGGATAATTTCTCTTTCCCTTTCTTTCTCCCTTCTTTTCTACATGCATGGCTTCCTTTGTTTGTTTGAGATTGTCTGTGCTTCCCTGAGCTCAGTGTAGACCAGGCTTGCTCCAAACTTCTGCTCCTCTTCCCTCTGCCTCCTGAAAGCTGTGTTACAGATATTTGCCAGCGTGACATTCAGTCTATGGTGAATGTGCGTGCACATGTGCACATACATGTGGGGGCTGGAGGACAGCTTTAGTGTTGTCCTGTGTTAACCTTTAAAATTTGTTTTTGAGACAGGATTGCGCTTGCCTGGGTTTTGGCTTCGCTTTTGTTTTTTAAAGCTCTATTGATTTATATTGTGCATTAGTGCTTTGTCTGCATTTATGTAGGTGCTTGTGTATGTGTATGCACATGTGTGTTTGTGTGTGTGTGTGTCTGCAAGTGCTCACATGTGTTTCTGATGTTTTCATATGCCAGAAGAGGACATCAGATGTCGTGTAACTGGGCTTATGGATATTTGTCAGCCAATGTGTGTCCACTGAAAACCCAACCCAGGTCCATTGAAAGAACAAGCACAGCAAGTAGTCCTAACCACTGAGCCATCACTCCAGCCCCTGTCTTTTTGTTTGTTTGTTTGTTTTGTTTTTTGTTTTTTAATGGTTTCTGGCAATTGAACTGAAGTCTTCATGCTTGCAAGGAAGATAAGCATTTTACTACCCAGACTATCTCCCAGTCCCATCCCTAGTTCTTAAAAGTAATTTATGTTTCATATTCTATTTGTGCTAAGTGTAATATGGAGTTACTGAAAATGTTGTAGGACTCTATCAATACATCCAGGAAACATGACAAGACTTGTGGGTTAGGCCTGGTAACACAGGCCTTTAATCCTAGGATTTGGGAGACAAAGGCATCTCTTGAGTTTGAGGCGACTGCATAATGAGACTCTGCCTTAAAAAAAAAAAAAAAAGAAGAAGAAGACGAAGCAGAAAGAAAGAAAGAAAAGAAAAGAAAAACAACTATCTACAATACTTGCTTTACTAAATGGACCTTTATGTTTTTGTTGCTTTTTTTGAGACAAAGTCCTTTGGTATCCTGGAACTCCCAGTGTAAACCAGGAGAACCTGGTTTCAAATTGAAGAGATTTGCTTCATAGCGTGCTGGACTTAAAGGCTTGTTCCCCCATGTCTGGCAACCAAAAGGGTTTTAAATGGCAGAACTTCTGGGAAGGTGCTTTTTGTTTTGTTTTGTCTCGTTCATTTATTTTGTTCACTGCTTGGTCTTGTAGACTAAGCAAGGCAAAGCAAGAACAAAACTTTAGTATAAGCAAGTTCTCTATAGACACAGTGTGG